CAGAGACAGAAAGAGGGAGAGAGACAGAAAGAGGGAGAGAGAGCGAGAGAGAGAGAGAGAGAGAGAGAGGGGTCATATAAAGAGGAAGATAACAAGATGGTAGAGGTAGACACTAAAGCCACTAGTGGTATTCGTCCTTGCTAGCACTATCTAATATGAGGTCCAAAGAATTCTTCCTGGTACAGGTTTATTTTTCTGCAGATTGTGTTTATCTCTTGAGTCTTGGTATAAACACACAACCTTCATCACAATACTCTTTCATCTGGCCTACACTATAAGTTCCAGACCTGCTGGGAAATCTTACTACCTACACCTAACAAAAATCGCGCTGACCTCCCAAATTCTTTGTAAAAAAAATATACATGAATCTGAGTCAATGTCATATTCTAAGCAACATAAGTGGCCAAATCCTAGCTATTTTGGTTGAAAGACTCCCATTAATTAATACCAACCACATTTGCTTTAAGCAGGCATATGGGCCAATCAGATAACTGTATGAAGATGATAGTGCTCATCGAGCAAGGTTTAGAGTTAGAATATTAAATTATAGAATACTTTTGATGACATTTCCTATTCAATACTACCATAATACTTGGTATGGGACAGCAAAGTACCAATATCCTTGGAATAAGCCACTTCCAAGATACTATCTAGACATGGGCAGAAGAAGGTAATTTGTGCTTTTTCTCTTAACCGGAAATTAGCCTGGAAAGATCCAAAATATATACGCATTTCAAAACAGCTTTGCATTTATCATTTCTCAGAAACATGATTCTGGCTCGCTATCACGATAACGCCCAAAATGAAGTATACTCAGCTGAGTGAAAATTTGCTAGGAAGGGAGGGATGGCGATTTAAATGTTTTTTTTGTTTGAGATGGCAAGAGAACAAGGTAGAAAAGAGTGCAGGGACATTTGTGAAGAGGTTAAAAGAGGAGAGGAGAGAGAAAGAGAAAGAGAAAGAGAGAGAGAGAGAGAGAAAGGGAGAGAGAAAGAGAAAGAGAGAAAGAGAAAGAGAGAGCGAGAGAGAGAGAAAGAGAGAGGGGGAGAAGAAGGACAAAAATGTAAAAAGGAGAAATGGAGAGAAATACGACGGAAGAACAAGATGGAGTTAAAAGAATTGACAGTAAGAGATCGCAGAATAGGAGAAGAGGATAACGAAATGGAGTGCTAGCAGCTGGGCTTGGTCGTCATAGCAACCAGCTTGATTCAATTTTTAGCCTCTGCTTGAATCCCAATGCCCCAGGAGAACCTGAACATAGCATGAAAGACACACAGGTCAAAGGGTCATTAAGCCACCAATTCTATTTTCTCCCTCTCCTCTCTTCTTTCTTTCTTACCTTCTTTCTCTCCTTCTCTCTCCTCCCTCTCTCTCTCTCCCCATCCTCCCTCCCTCCCAATCCTCCCTCCCTCCTTTCTGTCTCTCCTTTCAAGCATACCTTCACTTATTCTTTGGGGTAAAGTTTCCATTAAATTAGGCATTATTCTTTAAAAAGTTAAAGACCCTATCCGATGAAAATACAACTTGATATAAATGGAAAACTGAATGAATGTAGAATACAAATATATAAAGGAATAAAAAGAATTCATTCACACAAAAGCCGATTAAAACCTCATTTTCCACACCTCTCCAAATTACGGGTCAATAGGGGTCAAATTTGCTGAAGTTAGTGACGACCGGTTCACTAGCTGAGGCGATGAAACGTGCTTAATTAATGCAAAGTCATTGTAAATATGCATACTCCACATAAAATGATTTCATCAAGTCAATAGCTAGTTTTTAGGTCAACAACTTCTGATTTTCAAAGCTTTAGATTTTGAGTTTTCAGAGAGCTGATACTCATCTGACAGACACTAAAATGGCATATAATTGATATAATTAATCTATGACTTATAAGCTTTCAGTTAATATATAATTCATCCATTTCATTTTTCGGTTCAGATATGGTCTTCAATGATCAAACAGTCACAAATATTGCCTGACATGTAACTCCTTGTATGTGGTGCACAACCCCTATTTGACTGTCACCATTCAATGGCTCATGATGCAATGTGCACAAATGTCAACGTGATAATGTGCAGCCACAATGACTTATTTACTGCATTCACTCACTCACATACATGTATATGCTTGAGTTGGGCAATGGATTCATTAATGGCTTTAAATTGGCCCTTCTGCATGCAAACTGAACCATGTTGAGAATACATAGGCTGCGTTCATGCTTAAATTTTGAAGGCAGAATGAGCGATCTGAAACGCTCATCGTAAACGCTCATCGTGATCGCAGTTCCACGATGTAGTGTTCATGCTTACTTCTCTGGCTCCCCAGGCAATTCTCCGTGTGTGGCCTTAATTGGTCTTCCAGCTGGATTCGCAAACCTTCACTGTGCATGCTACGTAGACCCACTAGAGGTCAGTGCGTTGACCCCATTTAAACGCGTTTACAAATTGTAAACGCATCTTTTTGTGAGTTTACGATCGGCGATCGTGATCGCCGTTTTTCGGTGATTCTACAAAAGTGAGCTAAGACGCAACCGTGTTTTAAACTAAACACGTAACAGATGCCTGATTCTGGCCGTCAAAATCAAGCATGAACGCGCCCTTAGACATATGAACATCAGCAATACATTCTAGTTGTGTGAACAGTTCCTCAGTTTCACTTTTTCAATGACAAATTATGAACTTGAAGTAAAGCCACATTCTAAAGGAGTAGCTTTCCCTCTCTGAACTGTATTGGTGACAGGGGTCAAGAACTTTCCCTGAAATACATCAAAGGACCTCCAAGTAGGTTATTTTTAACTTTGGGATAAAACATATTGAGCCTAATTCTACCATTCAAGGTTTACTGTCATTTTATTAGCAGATAATTTTTGTCCCCTCTTCATTTTTGATTCTCTCCATCTCCCCCTCTCAGCCATAATATCCATGTTTTTGGCTCCTACTCATCATCATGTGCTCCATTTTTCAACAGGAGCACATCATGTCCATTTTTTCATCCCTCTATGTCAAATAGCCTTACCACACACTCTCTATACAATAGCATTGTAAAGCTATACCAATCCATGACAGGTTCATGACATAAACCTTGAGCCACACACAGCGTTCTACTCAACAGGAATGGCATGAAACCTGATAACCTCCCTTTTTCTCTCTCGGTTTCCTCCTTCTTGGAGTTCAATGGGGCCACGTTCTTAGAGATATTTCCAAAGTTTACTGCTCCAACGCAAGCTTCACCAAAGAAAAGGCAGAAGGTTAAACAAAAAAATCCTCTGCCATTGGATTTATTGTATTAAATTCCTTACTAAAGACTGCAGTCCTAGTCCCCACTCATAAATCACACAAAGAATGACTAACCCATTCCCTTTCATAAGGATGGATTCTCTTCCACAGAGATCACAGAGTATCTATGGCAGTATTCTAAAATTTAAGTTTTCAATTATGATTCCTCTCTTTGGAAATTTTAATTCCTGGCATATGTTCTGAAAGTAAATTTATCTTGTTCTCCTTGTACTAATGGATACTTTAATTCCACGGCCATTGTGATGTATGAGAGTGAATTATAAAGCAGACAATCTTCACTCTTTCTTGCAACTTAATAAGGAAGGTGCATGCACTTTCACAAAATTGAAGAGAAGAGAAAAAAAAAAAAAAAAAAAGAAGAAAGGAATTTATCCGATTGTTTTGAACAAAAAAATGTAATTCTCTTCTACAATATTCTTTTTCTCACTAGTGCACTACTTCTAAACACATATTCAAATTTCTTTTCTTGAAATTTTGATTTTATAATTCTTTCACAAGTTGGCTTAAATAGAAGCAGAAAAACGAGAGATAACAGGTCCGTGAAAAATTTGAGCAAAACAAAAAAAAAAGTAAGAAAGCTATGAATTTTTGAAGTTGCAATCAATCAAACACATATTGGCAACTCTGTGACATATCTTGCATGGTCCCTTCCCAAATACCCTGGACTAAAATACTTCAAAAAATGATATTTTACATGTACCTAAGAAAATTTGCTATCGTAAATTCACCTTAATTACAATTATTGCTAATATGTTTTTATACGACCCCTGGATGAAAAAAGTCTGTCATCAAGGACTAAGGAAACAAAAGGTAATGATTTTTGTTTGTGCAGGGCAAATTGGAGAGAAGCTTGCAAGATACCTCAGTGGTACCAATTTGTGCTTCACTGTTGACAACTTCAAAAATTCCTTTCTTTCCTATTCTTAATCAGAATTTGCTCAGACTTTCATTAATTCAAATTTTCTCTCATTTTTCTGCTTTAAATAAAAACCAACTTAATATCAGGGTGGACTTCCCCTTTAACAATGAGTGTTTTTGTTGCATTTCACCTCGTAGGAGAGGAACATACAGATAGACAGTCACTACTCACCAGACCTGCCAACCTCTGGAGTTCAAAAACTGTATTCTTTTGTGTCAAAAGTTGTATTTTACTGACAAAAGTTGTATTCTTGAAAATAAACACGGATTGTTGCGCGGATCAATGCCTCTTACAGTTTCTACCTACAGGAAGAATTTTTTTTATTGATCATTGGTTGAATATGCATTATTTCGTCACGACTGGTGTGTTCGATGAACCAATAAACATCCCCAAATTGCTGATGTGAGATGCTTGTAGGATACTTTACAGGACAGAATGGACATTTTGCCATTGAAAATGGCGGACGCACACACAACATATTCATTAAAAAAATTAAAAAAAAAAAAAAATTAAAAAAAAAAAAATCTTTTTTTTTTTTTTTTTTTTTTTAAATCATATTTTATTAAGGAAAATCGTACTGTCGTATTTGCTTCTAAAAATCGTACTAAATACGACTAAATCGTACTGGTTGGCAGGTCTGACTCACTACTCACAGCAATCCTGCACATCAAACACACTCATTAACATGATTATTCATCAAATAATCCACACATGTGAACCAGTGCAAATAGAGTAACAAAAGGGGTTATGAATGGGTAAAAAGAAATGTGAGCTGGACTTACCCGAAGTGGAATTTCTGAGGGTAATGAGGTAGATGTGTGTGCCAGGAGGAACATATCGTCCACTCCTACTCCTAGAGCTAAAAATGGTAAAACCTGCAGGAAAAGAGAAAAAAAAGAAAATAATAAAAACCAATCCAATGTAATTCAAACATTTCAACCACAGGCATACATATTCTGCACAATCTACTGTTGAGTTAGACATTTTACATTCAATGTACAACTGAAAAATGTTTATAACTAGCCAAAACAAAATATCAATATTTTAACACTATTTTAGACAAAGTATGAAGGAAATTTGGGAAAATAAAGTTCACATACCTAGTTTGTACAATTTCTGGTTTAAAGCCCCACTGCACTACGTATAGCTACTTGCACCTTCTATATATCAAACAATGCCTAATTGGTGCCTGTTGGTCTCCCATGATCCCCTTTTTCCTATGTTAATTGAGAGCTGATTTAATGAGATAACCACCTGCCAGTGACCATGCAGGGAGGACTTATTCCCCCTGGCCAAACTAGTGCAGACGAGCTTTAAATAACTGTACTCATGCCCACAAAAATAACCTTTAAAAAATCCCAATTCAACTTGGGAACTGTGCTAGTATGGTAGTGTCACCCAACTTCATGCACAGTACCATGTATTTAATAAAAAAGTGAAAAATTAAATCTGCAAGATTTTGAAATTCTGATACCACTAATGGAAAGAGGAACTTAGAAATCTGAATTACGTAGTGAATTTTCTATGAACTTGAGTGGGCAATTATCTGTCTATTCCGAAAAAATGTCAAACCAACTGAGATTGTAGATATTTTGCCTTCCAATTCATGCTGGGCAATACGACCTAATAAATAGTGTATTATTGTGTCCAAAATTACAATAAAGACTATTAGTACAGCCTGGTGACATGACACCCATTTTTATAACACTTACGAGTCAACTTAGCTATATCTTCCTAATTAACCCACTCCTCTGATCTTCATAAATTACGACTACCCTTGAAAGTGACTTGCATCAACTGGTTTTAAACCTGATGACCATTATACCATAAAACATGTTTGGTGCATTTCATTGATGTACATGATACTACATGTAGAGGTATACTTCAAGAGGAGTGTTACAGGAGATGTATTACATAGAAGAAGAGCATGTACATGTAGACCACATGGATGGCAATATTCCCTCGGGACCCCTCACAAACCATGTGACACTTTGACACTTGACCTGACTCATTACTTTTGTTGAGTGATGCCTGGCTCCATTATCCATCTGCCCTACACCTCTCTCTCTCTCTCTCTCACTGAAGTTCATATCCACCTTCTCATCCTCCTTCCCATCCTCATCCACATCACTATCATTCCCATCCTTACGAGGTAGACCATTCAATTGTTCATACCCATCAACCTAATCACCAAGTTTGGAAGCATTACACCTTATTCACACCATCATTGATTTTACTTGGGAGAACTAAGCCTATCCTCTCCATTTATCCATACATTGTCTGTGTACTTTTTATGTCAATATACTAGCACCTAGCAAACCCCCCCCCCCCCCTCCAAAAAAAAAAAGAGTTTGATTTTCTTCCCGAATTTTGTCTTGGGCGCTAAATATCCCTCAGTCTTTCCCAATACTGACCACTTTATCTTTTGATTCCCTGCCTCAAATGATTTCTGGAGTTATATTTTTCTTACATTCCCCTTTTCCCCTCAAATCCTACCTCTTCTGCATGGTATTCACCTTCCCCAATCCTCCTTCTCCATCACTCTATCTGCATTCTCCCACACAGAAATCGTAACATATTTCCCCTTTTCCTCAATTGATTTCTCCTCACATTGCCCTTTCATTACCCATTTTCTTTCTTCTACCCACCATTTCCAATTAATAAACCCCATTCATCCTACTCTATCCTGTACGTGCCCTGTTCCTCCATCACTCTCTCTGCACTCTCCCCACAGAGCAGTCAAAACATTCACGCCATTAGCAGGGGCTCCTTGCCTCCATGTAATGTTATTTCACATGTCACTTCCATCACAGGGTCTATTTATGATAGGACAACATGTCACCATGGGCTCAGGTAGGTGAGCTTCCAATATCATCATCTCAGCTAGCTCCCCAGCCCCCCCCCCCCCACCTTTTGAAAGTGCTTTTGAAAAAAGTTCAGCCATGTTGTTTTCCTCTGCAGGAGATACATAATACATACATCCTCTTATAATCAGAATCAAGTTCTTTGGGTACATAACTGTATGTCTTGCTGTGTACATTATCATCTTGCCAAATGCTGCCCTCGATCCCCCTTCTTTTTCACTGGTACTTTTCAGAAATCTTCAACATTCTTGTTTCTCTCTAAAAAAAACATTACACAGACCTTCTTGGACTCCAAGTTTTCATGAAATAATCAGAATTTGGGGACTTCATGCCTCTATCATCATCTTGGAAAGGTGTTCTTCAGAATGGTTGTTTCTCTCATAAGGAGAGAAGTAACCTTCAACTAATGTACATCCTTTACCTTTCAAATTCTGGGAATTTGATAGATCACTTATATATTTCATTATCTTGACAAGTCTAGCCTATGCACCGCCTCCCTCCCCCCCCCCCCCCCAACACATCGGTCAATACACAAGATCTTTTTAGTATCCATCACAGCAGGAATGAAAATACATTGTACATCAATTTAGCCAAACTTGTAACACATTAGAAAGCATGTAATTCAGGCAGTTATGCAGATAAAACAGTACAAATAAAACTATTTCAAAATAAAAAGACCTTTACTAATAACTAATATCTTTTCATATCAAATTCATACTATTTACATGTGACAAACAAATGGCAATCACTCAAAGTCAGGCAAAATATATTAGACTTACAGTCAGTTCATTCCATGCAATACTCAAACTAAGAAATACTATGGGGAATGGATCAAGAGAAAAGGACAAAGAAGAGAACAAAAGAGATAATCAAGGAAAGCAAGCCAATGGAGAAGATGAACAAAAGATGAAAAAAAGAGGAAAATCACTGACCTGAGTTGTAGATGCATTGAATATAATGCCAATAAGAGCGCAAAACCCTAGTCCTGCCGCTACTGAGCCTGCTACAAGCAGAACTCCAAAAAGACCTAGCCCACCTTGGGACCGTACACCATCGTAGAGCTTCATCATGGTTAGTGTGGCGTACATTGTCTACCCAAATAAAGAGAAATTTGAGAATGTTAGCATTTAATTCTCTACATTTTATAGGATTGTAACTTAATCTTTTGGGTCACTAGCACATGAATGATATTCTGTTATCACCCCTCCAACAGACCCATCCCACCTTACACTGTAGGACCATATCCTAAGCTTCATCAGGGTCAGTGTGGCATACACGGGGGCATACACTGCCTAAGAGATGAAACAAAGTATCAAGTTCACCAGAAATGTTTTAACAATATCTATTAAAGACCATTATAACAGATGAATGATATTGTATTGCATTACACTGCATGTGGGAATATCATTTTTGGTGCACAAAGCTTTCACTACTTGTAATATTGCACTAGCTGTGGGTGAAAAGTGATTGCATTTCGAAGAGCCAGGATACATAAATATTTTCATGCTCCACAATGACATTAGTGATATCAGAGGCAATATCTAAAGTATACCAATCCCCAAAGCTCTTGATTTTAGGGGTTCCGTGTGGCTATACTGTATTCATAATATGAGCTTCAAATATTACTTTGACAAAGAGATATTGCAATTAAAAAATGTATTTTTTAGTAGACTGCCAATCCACACATATATATGCACTCACATAGATTACAGCTCTCAAATCTAAATATATTCTCAGTGAACCATAAAATCATGCTGAGTAAACTAGTTAACCCGGGCGTACAGAATAGGAATGACACGAAACCCAAGACTGACCCCCTGTCCACACACAACATTTTCCGTGATTAGCTATACCGTTTCGCGATAGTTTTACGATGAAAATTATGCGTGTGGACGCTCACTAACGATACGTCGTATAACGAAACTAGTCTAATGAAACGCAGGTTTGGGCATCGTTTCGAACTGAAACTCGATAAAGAATCACGCCTAATCACGGAAAATGTTGTGTGTGGACAGGGGGAGTGTAACTAGTGTAACTAACTGGCCGGGGCTTAACGTGTCCTCGAGCGAAAGGAGACCAGACCTCTCATTTTCGCTTCCATTTCATGACCGCAGTAGCAAACTGCGCACCTATACGACATTTCGCTGTAGAGTTTCAGGATTACTTTCTTCTGTGTGTGGACATCCTGGAATTTATATGATGATTATTTATACGACGTTTCTTGTGTGTGGACACTCCGAAATTTATACGATGATTCTTTATACGACGTTTCGTTATAGTGTTTCGGAATAAATTGTTTTGTGTGTGGACACGCTGTGATTTGGGTTGAGTGTTATCCTTTATTTTATTCATACTCCTTAACCGTTTACCTATAGAATGTAGGTAAAGTTTATTATTTTAAAGGCTTATATTATACAATCTCACTATACACAAATCATTTGTTCGGGTGACTGGTACACACTAAAGACTGAACACATTGGTGAAATCAAAGTAAGATGGACCTTTTGAAAAAGACACTCACCATGATAGCGTAACCCATGGCAACCCGAACAACACTTGTCCGTGAGAAGTCTTGGAGGAGATCTTCCAGAGATGCAGATGAGAGAGCATTGATGTCCTGAGTTGTGTTGGATATTGAGCTATTTCTCACAATCTTAAACAAACAAAAATGTTAAGAGAGGCATGAATAACTCAACTGGTCATGAAGTATCTATTTTGATTCATGCATTCTTACTGCACTACATTTAATGATTCAGAGACCTTGTTGAATATCACCTGACATTACAAAAAAAGGAATGTTGCATAATAAAATAATTGCATCTGATTGGCTACAAGAAATTTTCAATCTGAACATAATGGTTTATTGACCTATGTATCATAACCAGAGGGCATATATCACAAAATCAGCAAAATTCTAAGTTAACGGACATTCAATTAAAAAATGGATTATAAATTTCACATGCACTTCAAAGGGATGTCTAAGAACTAAGGCTTATCAAACCGTTTGCTTCATGTTGACGTTTATACTCACATTTGTAAATTTTCTCTGCCACTCATTGAGAATTGCTTTTGCTTTCTCCTCTGTCCATTTGACCTCACTGACCTTGATGTTGTTCTTCCATGCCTCATACATGTCTTTCTCCCCCCTGAGCTGGATGATAGTCTGTAAAGCTTCGGCACTGAGAAGCAACATGGAAGGACAAACAATGACACTTGTCAGGTCTGTTATTTCCAGGGAGCCCTGGCAATTTGAGGTATCTTTTTAATTCTGGTACCTGCCCAAACTTATACAACAGAAAATACCTGCTAGATCTACTAAATGTACTCTTTTTTGATGTAATTGTTCATAGAAACTTGCTTGAATGTGACTATTTATATCAGCCAAATAGCTTTAAAAAAAACTCTCTCTAAATATGTCTTCTTCATAACATACCAATCAAATAATTTTAAAAGAAAAAATATATTTCCTTTCTAGATACCTCATGTTTTTTTAAAGCCGATATTTACTTAGTAATCATTACAAGTTTTATCATCGCTGTTGCAAGGCAGGTTGTGACTATAGTCAAAGAAGCTATGTACAGACATGGCTGTAATACACGCTGAACAAACCCAAACAAAATACATGATCATAACAAGATATTCTTCAATAGTTGTCCAAGAAATGCCAAGGAAATAGTGATAATGGAGGAGTTACTAGGTACATTTTAATTGGAATGGGCCTGCTGCAAGTTACTTGCGCTTGTAGTGGTACTTGATCAATTGATGCTATACAAAACCCTTCTATTTACTATAAACAGTAATTCCTTCTCCACTGCAAATATAATTGACAAGAAATGTTCAAACCCCTGAACTGGGCACAATATATATCTTCTTTAGGAACAATTTTCCAAAAATGTTATGTGTATTTGATTGTGGAAGAGAGACCTAGTACATTTTAAAAAATAAGGTTAAACCTTATTTTGGGTCATTCAAATTCTTGTGCAGGATTCGCAAACCATAGAAAGCAAAGATTTACCATATCATGGAAGAAGCACACTCTAAACTCTCAACTTTCTTATCAAGCAATGTAACATGTACACAGGAAAGGGGAGGGGCAAAACCTGTCCCTGAACAACTGCAATGCATCGTTACAATTTCTTCAGGCAGTATGTATCATCAATTTCCTCCTATAAGTCACACAAAGCTTTACAGGGTGAATAGCGCTTGTGGTTGTTTTCAATCAAATTAACCAACAGCCTTCATCAGTAAGGCAAATCATGTTACATGCCAACTCTTAACATAAAAATTAATGCTAGTCATTTAAAAAAGGAGGAAATTACTCAAACCCTACATGTAAAGACTTCATTATGTAACATCTGCTTGTTCCTGTTTTGCATCATTTTCAAGAAATGATACGCTGGCTTTTATCCAATTAGACATAATTGCCGGTTTGTTCAACCATTCCATTACAAATTTCCAAAATCGTAACTTTTATTTTCATACATTACAGTTGTCAGATGTATTGTGCCACTCTGGTATATATCAGATAATCAAATGTATATTTTGGAGTATGGTAGAATGTGCTAATTAATAGAGAACTCATGCATTAACCATCTTTTTTTCCTCCTTCTTAATATAAGAGAAATTAACTGCACATCAGTACTTTGTCATCAGGTTAAGGTAAGGGTAAGTGGAGGGTTAGGGTTAAAATTATATTTAAGATTAAAGGGAAATCCAACCTTGATAACACTCTACTCTAAAAGTAAGCAGAAAAGCCAGAGAAGCATCCTTGTGAAAGTTTGAATAAAATCAAGTACAAAATGAGAAAGTGATGAATTTTTGAAATTTGCAATCATTACAGGTATGGGCTCTTCAAATCGGTTGAATCAGTAATTTCTTTGTGATGTAGTAGCGGACAACTTTCCCAATTGGTCCTAAAGACACACATACACTCAGGAAGGTCTTTTCTTATTAGAGGACCTGTAATAGTACTTCAAACTTTATATATATTTTGAGTAGTGCCCCAAGGGTGAAGGCACATATAAGTGATACTTTTGTACACTGCAAACAAGAGTGTTATCCGCCACTACGTCACAATCCACTGAAAAAATTGCCAATTGCAGATTCGCACAGCTTTTAAAAGTGATCTTGTTTCTTAAACACTTGAAACTTTCTTATTATTGGTCGATTTATTGCAAACTTTTGCAATTTTGTTTCTTTGATTTGTTTTTCTTTTGTTCAAATGAACATCATTTAAGGGACGGATAGCCCTTTAAAGTCAGGACCAGGGACTGGTTCAGGTACTGGTTAGGGTGGGGTATGTATTACTAATGGTTGGTATTCAGCACTTGTTGAAACATTGACTGGTGTCAAAGAGTGGGATGGATAAACTCACCTCTCTACTGTACCGCTCTGGTTTTTGGAGACTCCTCCTAGTAAGAGTTCCTCTGGCCACTGCATGTAGCGGCTGGCAAACCCTGCACAACCCCCTGTTAATTGAGCTGCAATATTTGGGATCTGGAAACACAAACAAGATGCATTTACTTTGATGAGTTCTCTGTTTGAACACTTCTCTTTGAGTTGTTTATTCATCTTTATTCAAGAAAGTATACATATAACATAATAATAAAGATGTTACATAAAACCCAGGACAGAGATTTGAGCCATTGAGCAATTACATTCCCAAACACTTCCCATAAGGTCCCTGTCCGTCTGATGGATCTTATTCCATAAATATGTTATCATTTCTAGATCAATTAATACCAAGAAGAAGCAGGCTACAAATTATTCATTGTGCAAATTATGTATCGATGACTAAAGAAAAAGCAAAAACAAACAAATTCTGGACAAAAATATACAAAGGACAGGAAGGAAAAATGACTTACCTCTCCCGATAATTTGTTGGGTGCCATGTCAGGACATTCTTGATCTAAAGGATTTAGACAAGGTTTAACTTGATAGGCATGCCCAATACCCGTCTGCAAAAAGAAAAGACAAATAATTTTATTCAAGTATATATAATTCAGCTTGGCATACATACATTTATGTCCCAAGACAATATGAAACCAGCAATTGTATAAAAATAACTTTGTAACGGTGGATAAAAATTACTTTTCATTGACACAAATAGCAGTTAACATTTGAGTACAGAATTATCATTTATGTTTCATAATACCAATCAGACTTAAACAAATAAGTAAACAATTTGAGAGTATCCTCCAATCTTTAATTCCATGATATATGCACAATATTTTCTTATACAATTATGGGTGAGGGTCTGTAAGATCGGATGACACTAAAAGCATTGACAATATTTTACGCTTTAGTGAACAATGGCTTATCTTGAGAAAATCATGAAAATTCATTCGCACAAGAATGTTTCATCCTTGGACTAGATCAAAGTGCAAATTTGGCCGTTATTGCATGTAAGTATCAATTATTTATTTTAAGAATAATTTGTTCTTTTAGACTGTAATTCTCTGATTGCACAAATGAAGTATACTTACTCTATTAATAATATCTTCAAAGGCTTCTGGTGAGAAATACTCTTCATAGCCCTCAAAAAGTTTTAGTAATCCAAGAGGGTCCAAAGTGGTCCATCTCAGAGTTTTGTTATAATGTCTGAAATGACAAAACAAAATCGTAATAATACAAAATTTGTATGAATGGCAAAAAATATATACTGGTATATATATATATATATATATATATATATATTTTACTAAAGGCGTCATTAGAGGGACATTTGGAGTGAAAAATGAGTCATTAAGTAGACATTGTGATTAAGAGGACAATTTGGTGTCCTCTTAACGTTTTTTTACGTTTTATTTCTCGTGGAAGGCCCAATTTTGTTATATATCTCTCTCTATATATGTAATTTTACTAAAGGCGTCATTGGATAACATTGGGAGTGAAAAAATGAGTCATTAAGTAGACATTAGATGGGTTAGGGTTAGGTTTATGGTTAGGTTTAGGGTTAGGGTTAGGGTTAGGGTTAGGGTTAGGTTTTAGGGTTAGGGTTAGGGTTAGGGTTAGGGTTAGGATTTTTATGATGTCCACTTAATGTACCATGTAGGGTTATATATATATATATATATATATATATATATATATATATATATATATATATGTATACAAGTGCATGTACATGCAGTCTGCTTTTTCCTCATCTCCTTGTGGTTCTGTCAACTGGACAATTTCTGTTAAAAGATCTTCACTTATTCATAAATAAACTTTCCAACTGAAGAAATCTTTGATTTATATAAACCATCTTACACCCCCTCCTAAAAAGAACAAAATTACAGCTTTCCAAAATGAAAAAAAAGGAAAATACTGAAATATAGGTGTAACTTGGCAATTGGTTGCCCTACTTTTAAAAAGATATGAAAACCACATCAAACACTAAAAACTTCTTCAATTTTTTTCATAGAGGAAAAAAAAACCTTCCCCAATAATGTGATTTTTTTATAAAAAGTATTCAAGACAAACTTGGAAAGAAACAACAATGTACACAAATCATACATGAAATATAAATTACAAAAAATGTAACGTTCCCATAAGTCGAAACAAGATGCAAAACACTTTCTCTGGAGACTTTATCGGAAGAATCCATCTTGAATCTCAAATAGGCCAATCACAGGATTCTTAGTTGACCAGCTTTGACCCATAATGCCCTAAAAATTCAACACCTCCAGCAAATAAACAGGGTAGAGGTCATTGACTTTGCCGCTCATTTGCATATCCTTGCCACCCATGGAAGTATTAAAGCTGAAGTCAAGTAGCACACCTCAAAAATAATCTGATTTATCTTTATCCACAAAGAACTTGATTCCAATTGAATGGAAAGGTGGTGGATTTGGTGGGAAGGAAAGCAGCATAACAAGTGAGTTAGTGGGTGTCACTTTACCAATGGCTTTTCATCTGCTATTCTGATCTTTCTCTCATCAATACAACTTTAATACATTAGCTCTCTCTACATATACCTTATAGTTTTGCATTTCTTATAGAAACAAAATTGATGTGAAATCGATTCAATAAAACACAATGCACCCCCCCCCCTGGAAGAAAAAGAAATATACTTCACTTCACATCATATTGGCCACAACTTGATTCATCATCACAAATTTTCTCTCCACTCAAAAAAAACCACCAACCTCTATGACATAAGCTTTGAACATGATCTACACTGTAGCACTGCAGATACTACAATGTGCATGAATGTGAAATTTCTGTCTTTTTAATCTGGAAAATGGGTAAAATTGAAGGAATATGGAATGGAACAATGAGGCAGGGTGAATGACCATCTTTGGGGTCCATGTATGAGCCAAGAGAAACCTTGCCTGCTATGTAGGAACGAACACAGGCTATAAAGGAACCAAACAGCTGCACTCAGTGTTCACTTTCTATGAAAGGTTGAGAAAGTAAATCAACTTTGGCAACTCCCAAACTTTACACAAATGCAAACTGTACAAGAATTAAGTGCAATTTGTAGGGACAATCTTCATCTTTTTTTCTTCTCCTTTTCTGATAATTTCCTTCAACTGAAAAAAGAGCTGTAAACAGGTACAGGAGCATTTGTCTACATCAATAAACCACCATTTGTAATGGCCAAAATCAAATTGATTTGCACAGTACAAAATGTACGACCATTCAGTACAAGGGTCTGAAAATCAGACTATTTAATTGAACCGAGCACGCTCCCTACATTCAATTCAACAACTAAGGTTCGTTATTTTCCCACAAAAAGGTGTTTTCAAGCCCTTTTGTTTTGAGGGAAGTTTTGATTTATGCCCCTCCGCCTGGCGCTATGCCTGGCAATGTCACCCAGCTCAGTAATCGGTGTGTCGACTCAGCACTAAGAAACTAGAACACCACTCAAATTTGTCTGTCATCTTGGTTTGAAAGTTATCTTTCTGATAGATCTCAATATGTAGTTTATAATAATTCCTACACACGGTGTACCACAAGGTTCTATCTTAGGTCCTACTGTTTTTTAATTTACATTAATGATCTTACACATTCAGCTGCACCTCTCAGTTAAATGAAAGGCCTTCCCACGTGGGTTTTTTAACACAGACCTGGCTTGCTGCCGACAAAGTCAGCAACAACAAAAAATTAAAAATAAATAAAAAATTTTAGGGCAAAAAAGAGGGGTGCGGTTAATACACGAGGGCAGTTTATAAAACGTTTATTGCGGTATTACCTTTCAAATGCTAATGGAATTAAACCTTTCCATGTTTTGGGATTGCAAGGGGACATAGTACTAGGCCTACCTTTAATTTAGGTTAATCATGGATATGTTTTTAGTAAGGTTCTTCTGTGAATACTTGTCAAAGTATGACCTTGACAATATCAGAAATAGGCTTCATGTGTGGCACACCCATACACTATCACGATCCAGCTCAATACCAATAACTTTCCCTGGTGATGGTCTATCTCAGGTATCTGGTAACCCAATCCACTATTTCACAAATGACAGCATGCAAGATGGAAATATGATACATGCAGTCATGAAATAGTGAACGAAATAAGTTGCAAAGTGAAATCTGAACTTTTTTATGGTACTATATTTCATTAAATACGATACATTTTCAATTTCAATCCAAGTCTACTAATGTAAAAGTTTTGATTTTGGATACATTCAATTTTTTGCTTCCCACTACGCTTTTATCACATGCCAACACCCCCCCCCCCCAGCCTTAACCTTTATGCTCTTAGCCTATATCAACCTTTTATCTCTTTCTCTCTCTTCAAAACCCTCAATTTCTCCATTTGGTAATAGATGGCAAATAGGCCTATTCCCGTCTATTCGAAAGAGAAAAATACCGCCAAATATGCTCTACAATCAGTTATGGAATAAACATCCAGAAGAAAGAAGAAGCTAACAAAAATGGACTCTGGCAAGAAGCAACCTGTGCAGAAAACCCCAAATTTCTAGAATATTGTTTAGCTTTTCTAAATTTAGAAAATGACCTGCATCTAGAGAACCCCCCAGAATAACCTTTATTTGTGATTATTGACCCAATAACAGAAAAGTACCAGATCAGTTGAACAGCATACACAGGCAAAAGAGTTGGGAATTTGCCTTATCCAAGATAGAATTGTGAACATTTTGCCTCCAGGACTATCAGTCACATGAACACCCTAGGCCTTTGCTCCCTTTCTTACTAGCACAGGAAGGAAGGAAGGCAAGGTGGGTCTCAACACACACCACTTGTTCTTCCATGTCAGTGTCAAGCCTCTAAATTCACTGCATGAGGCCGCTGGTCATTTCATTGCCAATTTGATGGCCTGGTAAAGATCACTAAGTAGATGTGTATGTGTAGGCACACAAATCACCACAAACAAAATCATTTCCAAACATGATTTAAATGAAAAGAATTCATTTCATTTAATATCAGTGACTTCTGGACAGCTGCTAAAACATGTATTGTATCACTTGGGAGTAAGGCTTATCTTTGCTTCAATGAAAGATGTTTTCTTCCCCAGGAATAACTCAAGACAACATATCATCACTATCTACAACCTGTAGCATCTCCCTCATTATTTTGCAGAAAAGTTTCACCCACTGCCTGGGACGCCCCCCCCCTCCCACCTCCAATCCCCCTTAAAGGCAAGAATGGAAGTGTACATGGAGACCCCATATGCCAGGGACTGACATGCCTTATCTAGACATAACATTATTCTTAAGGAAGGCAAGATCATATAAAATAGGTGCCCCATCACAGGCTGAAACCGCCGGGATTCCCGGTCGATCTCAGCTCTGTTGACAGAACTACCGAATTGCCCATTTGAGATTTGCTTAGATTTAGTAATCTCATATTTCACACATTCATAAGAGTATTCATGCTGCAAGCAACTAGTCATATAATCAGAATAATACAGCTGACAAATATTCATACATAGTGAAGCAGAGCTTAATAGTGTTTTTATTGCATTTGGATCTCACACAACCAAACCCAACACAGCTCCATATATGTAACCCGATCTAGCCCGGGCTATTTTGAAACTGCATAACGAGGGGGGGGGGGGGGGGCTTCTAAATGTAAATGTAGAGGGGGGAGGGGCTTCTAACCCCCCCCCCTTTCCCCTGGACTAGATAGGGTAGAGGGTTTCCAAAATGCAAATTCTCTTATACAGTGACCAGAAAATTTTGGGAAACCCAGATATTTAACAAGATATTGCTAGATATTTAACAAGATATTGCTATATATAAACAGTAAATTTAATGGCCTATATCTGACATATGCTCTCTATATAAATGACACAAGAGACTGAAAAAGGACCATTCATCTAGCATAAATCATGTTGTGTTTCTTTGACAGGGTTTGTTAAAGTGACTCCACTGATACCCCCATGGCTGTTCACAGAGGTCCCAAATGACCCCTGACCCTTGACCTTTCACTACCCACAAAATCAAAATATTGTCCAAACCATACACAGGGACATTTACACTGCATGCACAAACCCTGGGTTTTTCTCACATTTCTGGAATTTTGTCAGAAGTGGCCAGGCAACTTCCCATAACACGCCACAAAATAAATAAAATGTCACATAAAGTGAAGCATAAAAATGCAGTTCTGGACGAGCTGCACTAAATCATGTAATCAATTCTTTGCACAGCCAAAAGAGTTGCATTGATATCAAACTTAAGTTACAACTCACAGTCATTAAACATGGTGACAAATTGTACTACGGTACAAACCAGAAACTTTCATGTGCAAGGTAGTTTCACTATGTTGCAAGTAGTTCAGATTCATGAAAGCTAGTTCATAACCAATGATGCAACATTGAACTATTTCCTCTTTGCAGGAATTCCTTTCAGCATCAGTGGCTATCTATTACAATTTGAAAAAGTTTCATGTCTAATATCTAGAAGATCTTGTTTCATGGTACTTGTTTACAATATCTGCTAAAGAATAACCCTGTAAGTTGGGGCTCTGATCGGATCGGAAGATCGGAGCGACACCCTGGCACCTTTGATCGGTATCGGATCGGAAGAGCGACAAAAAAAAATCGGCCGATTTTTTTTTTTTTTTTTTTTTAAATGACGAAATTTTTCAAGTTTTTGGCTATCAAATGCTCAAAAAAAGTTCATGGCTGGGATTATTTTGTCATTTGGAGTTGTTGTAGACCATGTTTGTTGATATTTTGTGCCTTTTCATGACTTTGAAAATTGAAATTAATAATATTGGTCTAAGAGCAGAGGCAAAACATGCGGGCCGCCATCTTGGATTATAATGTAGACTAGGTATTTTTTTTTTTTTTTTAATGACGAAAACTTTCAAGTTTTTGGCTATCAAATGCTAAAAAAAAGTTCATGGCTGGGATTATTTTGTCATTTGGAATTGTTGTAGACCATGTTTGTTGATATTTAGTGCCTTTTCATGACTTTGAAATTAATAATATTGGTCTAAGAGCAGAGGCAAAACATGCAGGCCGCCATCTTGAATTATAATGTAGGTATGCATTATAATCCAAGGTGGCGGCCCGCATGTTTTGCCTCTGCTCTTAGACCAATATTATTAATTTCAAAGTCATGAAAAGGCACTAATTATCAACAAACATGGTCTACAACAACTCCAAATGACAAAATAATCCCAGCCATGAACTTTTTTGGAGCATTTGATAGCCAAAAACTTGAAAATTTTCGTCCTTAAAAAAAAAAAAACCTACATTATAATCCAAGATGGCGGCCCGCATGTTTTGCCTCTGCTCTTAGACCAATATTATTAATTTCAAAGTCATGAAAAGGCACTAAATATCAACAATCATTGTCTACAACAACTCCAAATGACAAAATAATCCCAGCCATGAACTTTTTTTGAGCATTTGACAGCCAAAAACTTGAAAATTTTCGTCATTAAAAAAAAAAAATTACCTACATTATAATCCAAGATGGCGGCCCGCATGTTTTGCCTCTGCTCTTAGACCAATATTATTAATTTCAAAGTCATGAAAAGGCACTAAATATCAACAATCATTGTCTACAACAACTCCAAATGACAAAATAATCCCAGCCATGAACTTTTTTTGAGCATTTGACAGTCAAAAACTTGAAAATTTTCGTCATTAAAAAAAAAAAAAAAAAAAAAAAAAATTGCCGATTTTTTTTCCGATCATTTTAAATGATCGGCGATCGGAAATTTTTCACCGATCACCCCTGATCGGATCGGTATCGGCGGCCGATCCGATGATCGTTTACAGGGTTACTAAAGAAGCAAGAAGAAGGGGGTACTCACGGTATCTGAATAGGCCTCTCAGGCCCAAGTAATTTGGCTCCTTCCCAGAAGCAGTCTAATGGTGTGATTATTGTACAAGGAATAATGTTTTCTATAATCTGTGGATAATCAAAAGCAAATTAGAAGACATGATAAGAAGAGAATCATTTCCAGAATCACAAACTTTCAGTACAATCACATTAAATCAGTTTACAACCGTATTTGAATTAAGGCCAAGTATGAATAATTTCAAATTTCTTGTCTTGCCTGCACCCTTTTTTGTGAAAAAACAACAATTAAGTCTCTGACAGATTCATAGCTAAGATAATTTGGTAATAATTGTGGAATACTGCAATGAATGTTATGAGAATGTTGTTTCAGTGAATAGATTCCTGGATAGTGAGAAGGGCATAACTGCATATGCCACCAGAATTGTGAAAATATCAAAATAAATAATTATTACTTACACTATCTATTAAATGGTCTTCAAAGCTAGGATACTCTGTAATGAAACATACATCTTTAAAGCTCCATGTACTGCAAAGGAAATTAAAAAGAAAGAAATACGTATTAGAATTTACCATGCAAAACATGAGAATGAGATGACTGGACCACTCGGACCCTCTCCAATACCTCCCTACCCTGCTGGTCTTATGCTCTCATATCCCATTCAACAATTCAATATCCCTCCCCTGGCACCAGTGCCCCCCCTGCCCCCCCCCCCCCCCCCCCCCCCCCCCCCCCCCCCCCCCCCCCCGTCAATGACTTGAACCATACTTCATCACTGATCTCTCACATATCATCCACCACCAAAGCTGCCCCCCCCCCCTCCCTCCCTCCTGCATTAGTGCCCCATCTTTGGTTGGACCCATGCTAAGCCAGTGATGCAAGCCATGAAGACATAACCCATCCTGTCACATTACTGTGCATCTTCTTATAGCCATTAAAGCTTCACCACTAACCAGGCAAAGATGACTTAACTGCAATGAGAGAGAGAGAGAGAGAGATAAGGGGAAGACCAGGAAGAAATAACGATGGGTTCTCTCTGTTATGAAATGTGATGCGGGACCACCATGATTTGGAAGTGATAATGTCCTTGTTAATACCCAACGCACATCTGGAACACCACATTTGCATTATCATCCATCATGATCCATGCTGGCCCCAACTATTCCAAGCAGTCAGATGGATATCCCAATGGGTTATTTTGGATACAGATATTACAACACATAACAAAACTAGCTACAAATTTGATATCCACATAGTTTGGTTGCGTTTACAAATGCATCCACTGATGTGCTGCAACCATCTACCTCATAGGTTTTTAAAGGTCAAAGACAGGTTTTAATAATTTTTTTGGGAGGCATGACAACACTGTAAAAATACAATTTGTTTTCCTACTACTAATAATATAAACAATAATGATAATAATAATAAACACCAATGATAATAATAATAACTAGAATTATAAATATGTACTCTGAATTATAAATATGTACTCTAAATTTGGTGAAGTGATTTGGTGCTTTTTTAAATATTGATGCGCTTGCGAAAATTACTATGCCTTGATATTGACCCTTCAAGTAAAGTTTATGTGTACCAAATTAAATTCAGTCTTGATGGCTGGTTATGAAGATTATAAGATATGATTGATAATGTGATTTCACAAAAAGGGGGAATTAGTGGTGAAAAATTGATGGTGATTAGATGGGGCAGTTTTGAGAAAATCTTGCCATTAAAAAACGTACCGAAAAAAATAAAAATAATAAAGAATAAATATTTGGACGAAATCAAGAGGTGATCTGCTGCAGATCACCTGAAAAGATTAACAATAATAATGATTTTTGATATGTTCAAAGTGCACATATCCACCACGCAAGGTACATGTACTCAAGGCGCTCCAATATTACTCCGGCTCTGCTAGCTAGGCTCCCACTTTCAGAGCTCACAGCATTGAAGGAATTCTTTCTTACCGATACCCATTTAACACATAGTAATTTACCATCAGACATCATTCTACGACAGTTGCTCACTCTCTATCTACACGCAGAACAACAGATTGTATCAATAATCACTTTAGTACTTTGTGTGTACAACATACATGTAGACCTACATGTAGGTTTACATGTTATTACAACCAAGCAGCAGGCATGAACACAACAGTCAGTGCTTGGAATAAAGAGGCTCGGTTCTAAAGAGGGGCATGGTCCTAGAGAATTTCATCCTCTGTAATTGAGTTACTGGCTGCATGTTGGTTGGGCCACCACAGGGATCAAAGTGCCCGGCTAACCCAGCCAGCCAGCCAGCCATTTACCAAGGGGTGACACTCTCACCCCTTACTAGGCATAACTGGGTCATGGGAGGACTCCAGCATCACACATCATTATGGATTTCAAGATTCAGCCAAGTAAGAATATACAATACTTCACTTTTAGTTGATGTTGCAAGGTAGGCCTATATTGGTAAATTGTTATTGTGATGTAGTGTATCCTAGAAAAAAATATTGAAACCCCAAAACAAACTGATACGGTAAACTGTATGAAAATAATCCCTTGGTTTTCATAAAGAACTATGCTTTTGAATAATACATTGATTTCCCCCTTTATCAAAATTTAAGGTGCCCTTGCTTTGATTCTCGTGGAAATATTAGCGGACTGTTCACCCTGTTCCTTAAAAAAGTTGTAATTATGCAAAAAAAAATAATTGCACACCCATTTATCTACAAGTATGATCTTTTTACCCTCACTATACATATCTCCACTACCACATATTTTGTTAGGATGACATAATTACTCTTGCTTCATTCAAGAAGCCCATTAAAGTAATCTTCTCATTGAGTTTTTAAGTTTTTGTTTCCTTCAGGCCATGTGATCTGAATATTTTCATGGTTTTCCCAAAATCTGCCACAAATGGACTAATGCAATTTGAAAGCATATTACTTGAACTAATATGGAAAGCAAGAAATTATAATCATATAGCTCATAGTTTGTTTACAATAATCCTTTTTTCTTCTTTTCTGGGACACACCAATGAAAGAAAAATCTCTGTTACAATAACAAATGAATCAATCAATTAAATTTAAGCATATTCAAGCAATATAGGTACACTTCATTTCTGAACATCTTGTGGGTATAATACACTGTGTATGAGGTATTCAATGTACTGGTATAGTAATACTTTGGTCTGCAATGAAGGTACTACATGTAATCATGAAGAAACACTGTACTATTGTGCAGGCAAAGGTAGAAAATGATGGTAGAAAGAAGGGGAAAAGGTGATAAGTTTGAGAGAACAAGAGGATTATATCACCACCTGTCAAGGGGATGAATATGATCTCAAACCTCAATGACCTTTGCCTAATGAACTAAGCAAGCCCACTGATATCTCACGTCAAATAATTGTTTTGCTTAGAGATTCAAGTGGTGATTTGTTTTTTCTCCTTTGAAAGGCACCCATTTCTGTTGTAGTTTGATTTCCAAATCCTTAACTGTTGAATTAGTCAGGTGGCTTAGTGTCAAATTTAGCGATCATCGTTACTTGCCGGATAACAGCATCATTTTTGGTAGAGGGCTTCATTAGGGCCTGCTGATTGATGGTAGGGTAGGAGCCCCGGGCATAGATATTCATATATGTGTGATTGGGTGCCCGCGTGGCGTTTGTACGACAAAAATTCCATTTGTACACAAGCAAATCAATGTTATATTACCTTCTAAATTATTTGGGGGCGACGAGGCGACGCCCCCGCTCCAAACCCATCTAATGATATTCTTGCCAGGGGCTCCTACCCAAATATTGTTCAGTAGGTCCTAAGGAAGCCTTGTACCAAAAATGGCATTTGTGCAACAACAAATCAATGTTATAAAATTATTTGGGGGCTCCAAAAAGATGCCCCCGCCCCCACACCCTTAGATTGAAATATTTGCCGGGGCTCCTACCCTAATATCGTTTAGTAGGTCCTAAGGAGCCCTGTACCAAAATTGGTGCTTTTATCCGGCAAGTAACAAAAATTTCACTGAGCATCCTGACTAAATACGATTTCTACTAATCATCGCTTAATGCTGAAGAATATTTATCACTATTTTATAAGTTATATTCAAAAATTTCAGAATAATAATAAAATAGATACTTACACTCCGTACATGTCGACTTCAACTTGAGTTGCAAGAACGGCCGACCTGACATGCTGCAGTAAGGCTGATTGTGTGAGGATGTTCTCCCCGCTATTCTTTGGCGTTTGCACAATTATTTGGCTTGTTGCACCCCAGCCTGTCCCCAGCGTTGCTTCTGTATACTCCAGCTCCTGCTCTAACCTACCACCAACTGCATGGAAGAAAACAAATAGAACAAAATTGGGATTTAAAAAACAATATCAGTAATTATGGCACAATTTCATTGAGATATCTCTTCCATAAAGCTTCTTGAAATTCATAAAAGCAATAAATGATCAGCAGATTTCTCTTGAAGGAATCAAAATATCATGAGAGAAAAGCAGGTTGATGACTGTGGTGCATGGTAACCCCAAGTTCGACATCAATGAATTTAGAGATATCGCAATAAAAGGGTTAAAATCCTAACATTTGTCAATAGATGATAAAGACTTGTTCGGATATGGCATGGTACACCGCTGCAAAGCAGGGGCCCTTTTTAGTTTTGTGTGTGTGTGTGTGTGTGTGTGTGTGTGTGTAAATGATGTAATGTTAAAGATACAGAAATGTGATGCAAATTACACTTTACGTCATCTTTTTTTTTTAAATGTGGTTTTGCTGGTGATATCTGAACGGGCCTCAAGATGGTTATAACCACTACAGGCCAAATTCATCAGAATTTGAGAGTGAAGATGAAGTCCAAGGCCCTAGGACCTCCCTGGTCAAAACCACAAGTCATCCCTCCAATGTACCAGGGATAAGTGTCCCAGAGGGGCCAAGGTCCTGGGCTATCTAATATAAGCCCTAGTACTGGGCTAGGTCAAGGGCATCTACATTCACTGCTCCTTGTGCAGTCAGCAGGACTACATGTACATGTATGCAAGGGAATACACCAAACCATGCACCTCAGGTTCAACTATACCCACTTTCAGCTACACCATACCCCCAACATATATCAATAGGGAATATCATATTTATTCCTCAGAATCCCGTTTCAGTTCCTCATTTCCATATATACACTGTATAGGCTCAGAAAGACATTCACAGATTTAGCGATCTCAAATTTCAGACATTATACATGTAACTCATTTGCTAATTCTCATGTATTTCAAACTTTCACCATTCTGATTCTCTGAATTGTCTGCTTTCATACAAATGAACTAAATCACAAAGGTTGGATTACCCTTTTAAGATATAAATTGAACATACATCTCAAAACTCTTTCCCAATTTCTCATACACATCCTGGGAGGCTAGGCATACAATGTACACATAACAGTCAGGCAAAGTGAGATGGGATCAAATCTGTCCATGTGACCACTTTGTTCTTCAGCTCTACATGACTGAATGATTTCATGAGGGCTAGGAATCATCCCATTTGGCAGTTAGCCCAATTCCTAAAGCAGCACCATATCAATCAGATGATAGGGTCACACACAGCAGCTGAAATACACAAGGGGGAGAGAGAGAGAGAGATGGAGAGAAAAGAAGTTTGTAAGGCCCCTGGTATTCACAGCTGGGATGAACTTTCTTTTCCTGTTATGAAAATAGTCAAGTTCAAATACATTCATTGATGATGCGCTTAGAGACATTTGTATTAAGCGCTATATAAAAATTAAATATTATTATTATTATTATTATTTTTCTGTGCCAATGTTCTCCTTAAAAAATAAATTTTATAGATAAATCTTTATGCCTAATAATGGTATACCACACAAGATACACTGGCATATTTACAAAAAGCCTCTTGAACTGTGTGCTCAGTAAGATTTTAAAATTCTTGTAGAAATATTAGTAATAAGCCATGTATAGTGTCATTCTTCATCTGTAATTTAAATAAACTCATCTTTATTTAGCAATGTTACACAATGATTTGCAGTTCAAAAAGTTTGTCTGGATAAGTTGTTTTCATCATCTTTATTACATAACAGTACAACAGTGCAACACCAGGCCCATTTACACAACCAAAACACCATGACATTTTTCACTGCCATTTACACCAGTCATGTGACCAAAATCCAGAATAATTCACCAACATTTTGAGAGCGGGCATTTACAAAACTGGTGAATCTTCTGCCAGTATTTACAAAAATACACACTCCAGAGGAGCGGTTTTATATTCGGGTTTAACAGATAGTTGCTTAGCAAGTTCCTAATGTGAGAAAAATGCTTGCAGTGTAAATGCAACTTTGAAGAAAACAGGTACAAAGTGAGTGGCTCTGAGCCTTGTCCATGTTAACAGCCTGCCTTGCCAGCCATCCCTCCCTCTCTCCAAGAAAACCCATTTTGCTTTCTCACCTCCTGTGATTACCAAACGACCACCTACCATGTTCAGGAGGGACCCAGGATTGTAATTAAGCCCTCTCTGACCAGAGACTCCCATTCATAGGCCCATTGCTGGGGGCAGGGGAGGGGGATAATAGGGGGCCATACAATGGCAGGAGAGAAGAGCCCCCTCTGCCTACGGAGCCAATAATTACTGTGTCAATTAAAGAGGGAAACACAAATACAGATGAATGCAGGAGCCATTGTCGAGGCGTCTCAGAGAAGCCCCTTTGAATCGATCTACCGTTCAATATGGGAAATCCTCTCCCTCCAAAAAAAATCAATGTGGGGGTGTTTCCACTACCTCAATTTTTATATTTAGAATGTCTGCCTGTCAGCAGAGCAATCCTTAAACAATTTCATGGAGTAACATGCATGAGAAAACTGCCTAGTTTGGGAAAATAACCAGAACTAATTCAAAACAGAACACTTAGATATCCTGCCCAGCCGGCAACATTTCATCCAGACTCATCCCACCGAGTGTAGTGCAATGTCTGATGAGGAAACACTGTTCACTAGAGTGAATACACCATTTTCACCTGAATAGTGTAAACACACCCGGACATGTATGTGTAGGTGAGAAGAATGGATAAGTCTGGCCAAACCTTTCTCTTTCTCTCTTTCTCTCTATCTCTCTCTCTCTCTCTCTCTGACCAACTTTGAGCTTCCAGACACATCTCTTTTGTTATGCTGTAAGCCACTGCTCATCAATATATCACACCTTCATCTATTCTCCTAAATCTTGTTCACCTCCTCCTTCAATTGCTATGAGCTTGATTAAATGAGTACTTGTACACTAGTAATTCTAGCTATCGCAAATACGCCTAAAATGCCTGGAGACTGAATGTAGCCTCTTGGACATAAATTGCATATTGCGCAATTTACGGATGTACAGTATGTGTCCGAAACCTATTTCTAGGTTCTTAAATTTTTTGTGAAGGCAGCAACGAAAATCAAGAGAAGGATACTCCAAATCTTATCAACACCAGATTGAAACAATGGAGTGCCCTTCTAAAAACTTCGAGAAAGTGACTGGCTTAGAGGTAAAGACCAGTATTGGAAACGCCCCAATTTCAAAAAATGAAATGCAAGCTCTTATTACCAATCATGTGAAAGAATATGTTTTGAATAATACATGATAATAAAAAAATTGACGGGAAACCGCCTACTAATTGATATATTTGGTAAATTAGTGTATCTCTTGCCTGTTGAGAGATACAAATGCACGTGTCGCGCACGTGTGTGTAGTCCCATATACATCTTTCTGTGTACAGTGATTCTAACTTCATGAAGACTTGGCCAAATTTCTTATCATTTTGAAGATTCCAGAACCTTGCAGTACATCTATGCTAGTAGATGATCAACCTTTTCTGATCGATTTCACCATGTTTCTTTCACAATGCAATCGCATGACCATAACTGGTCTTTAGCTTTAACTTTGGAATACCCCACAAAAATGGAGTATGTCCATTGGTCTTCTAAAGAGCAAATGAACCCTTTATTGTAGTCCCGTCTGTTAGTATTTTAGACGAGTTTTCGCACTTGCTTAGGAACCCAACTAAAGAAAGTTCATTTGATTATTTCTGCACATGCAGGCACAATATAACTGTGCGAGGTGGACCGAATCAATGAAGATGTCAACATATTCCGTGGGATGAATAATTCATAGTACTTTTAGATGAATAATTCATAGTACTTTTAGAAAAATACATTCATAAACTTGTTACAAAGTTTACAAACCAAAACTGGTCTGTTGCTTGTAAGTTGTTTTGATCAGCTAAGACAGCTGATATGAAAGAAGAAAACATATATATAAGACCCCTGTGATATGCATGCACTGCAAGTAGGCCTAAATCCTTATACCGGGGAAACAGAGTGACATACTGAGGTGGTCTGAAAAGGGGGCTTTAGTTAGACTGTGAATGGTGTAGTGAATAGCAGACACGGAGAGTTCGTAGAGGATGAATGGCACATAGAGAGGGACAGATCCCATGAAGGGCCCACTGAACAAAAGAAGTAAGACACCTCATTCACTGACATCACATTCCAAAGACTACTTGCTAGCTATCTTCTCCACAAACACAAGAGGGAGGGGTTCTTCTTACAGTTCGTGGATGTTTTGGGGGAAGTGGGTAAAATGCTATGATTAAACAAGACATATGCTACTGCATCTGCAATATGCCTCCACCTAAATTTAGTCAAGATTATGGCTTGAATTATTCTTCAAATCTCACAACGAGAACACAAAGCAATCATCGGATTGTGTCTTGCCCACCTGTGACCAATTTATGTGAATATTCTTCATGAGCATCCCTGACTCAGGTTTAGTTGCACTTGGAGCAATGCATGCATGCAAAGTTCTTTTACTGACAGTTGGTTGCAAACTGTAATACCTGTTGGTCCCCCATGATACCCTTTTTCTTATGTTGATTGAGAGCTGATTTGATGAAAATAACCACCTGTCAGTGACCTTGCAGGGAGGTCTAATCCCCCTGGCCAAACTAGTACAGACAGGCTTAAGTAAATGTTAACATACGTAATGTGTAGGTACCCAAAAAGCATCTGTGACCAAGTTTAATAACAATACAAATAACAGTTGTGAAGAAGCTATTTGTCACAAGAGTCATAAATGTAAAACCTCAAATAACCTTTGACCTTAGCATGTAAACCTTCACAGCATCAAAGTGTGGACGTCCACCAACTACATATGTGATCAAAGTTTGGGCACAATAGGATTAACAGGTGCGTACATGTAGTTACTCCTCACAAGAGAATCTTGCAGGTAAACTTTAACACTTGTGACAGATGAAGGACAGACGGACGAATGCCCTTTGGATCCCTTGTCTCCCCT